CATTCTTTTGAACAGTTTACTTATTTATCATTACGAGATTGTCAAATTATATTTAATATAAATTTAATTAAATGCAAAGAAAAGTAGTTGATTATTTTCTATTCGAAAGAATTAATCGATCTTCTATCTTCTATCAAAAATTAATTTTTTGTTTGAGAGGAAAAAGAGAGAGAAAAAAGAATTGTTTGTTTTTGTACTTTATTATTGACTAGTTTCGGTCAAGTTTCAACTTGACTTCATCAGAATATACAAACAACTTTAAACTCATTCGATTACATTAAACAACCCGGAATGACAAGTTTTGAAAAAAGAAGAAACATGCCAGGGCTTGAAGAGCCCGTGACAGAAAAAAACTAGGACTAGATGAGCCCTTAGTTTTGTTCAGAATTCATTTCCTTCTTCTGACTTAGTGAACGAGAAGAAGATGTAAATTATTTTAGGAATACTTTATTTGGTTTTTTATGTACTAAGTAATCTAGAAGATTGTTCAATCTTCTAGTACCAACGATAGGCTTCCTATTACATATTGGTGTATCCGAAAAACATTCATTCCAAAGTCTATGAAAACTGGTCGCAAAATCGCTCATCCCTTTGCAAAAGGAGAAATGGCACATTATATTGACCCCGAAATCAATTTTCTTTTCTATTATTCTTTTTTCGTTTAAAAGGATTTTTCTTATATGCGAGAAATTCTTTTGTGTCGGAATTGCACAATGAAAAACTTGCGTGACCCTTTCAAATTGTTTTAGGATGAAAAACAGTGGATATTGGTTCAAGAGCAATGATAAGCATATATGCGATTCTTCAAGTTTGTAATCGTCATAGCTTGAAGAGTATCTTATTGCTCGAACAAGAGCACCGAAAGGTATATTCCTTTTTATATGTTGGGTGTGTATACTGGAGAAAGGGAGGAAATACAATTCATGCGAAGGTTTATGATACACTTTCGATATTAATTTTCCTCCTCTATTCTCGAAATCGACGTCAAGGTATTGAACGTTCTTTCCTATCGATTCGGAAAACACGATATTTTTATCAATTCGATTCCAGTATCTCACGAGACCTTTTAATATATCTTCATGTATATTCGACATGATGAATAAGTCATCGATATATCTATAGTATAGCGAGAACGTTCTATTAGCCCATTTAGCAATGGGACGCTCAACAAAATACATATATGTATTCGCTATGGTGAGGGTGAGTGGCGAACCCATGGCGCCTCCTCTTATTTGTTTGTAGTATGACCCATCGAAATAGAAATAGTTATTGGTTATAACAAATCTGGTAAGAGCTAAGATAATTTCTTTCTTAATACCATCTATTTGTTTTAGATTATGTTCTTCTAGTAATCTTTTTATAGCTACCACTCCCCCTTCTTGTGGGATCATTGTGTAAAGATCAGTCACATCCATGGATATGAATGTAGTTGAGGATGTGAGATAATTCTCTGACCATCTTTCAACGGATTTGATCAGTTGAGTACCATTTTCAATTGCTATATCTGAAGCTAACTGATTAAATAGCGGTCTTAATAAGTCATCTAACCATTTGGATATTCTTATGGTTGGTGATTGCATTCCAGCTACTATGGGTCTCAATGGTGTATTAGGTTTATGCGCTTTTGGCAAGAAATACAGGTGAGCTAATTCAGCTTCGTCCCGTTTCGCTTTTAGATTCTCGTAATGCTTCTGGGTTATATGTTTATTTATCCACAGAGCATACAGAAATTCATTTGTACGTTTGACTAATGTATCAAGTGGATTTGTTCCTTCCAAATCTTGATATGCATCTGTTTTTGTCATATATGCTCGAGCTTTGAGTATGTGATCATCAGTTGTACCTATATGAAAGACTTTCGATTTATCTGTCTTTCTGATGATTGTTTTTGTAGTTTCGAACTTTCTTTCTAGATTTTTAATCGTCTTTAGATGATCTGATGGAGGATATTTATCATGACAATCGCTCAATGTCTTCGTTAGTGAATCTTGAAAGAATTCAAAACGTTGACCAGGCAATATCCATCCGTGTTCACAGAAAATCTTTTTGATTTTTCCCATAACCACATCTATCTCTTTTTTCATGCGTTTATGTGCAAGATGAGGGTTATTAGGAATATACTTTGGGCCGAGTTTCAGCAGATTATACTCGGTCCTATCTAGACTTAGATTCGTTTCATTGATTATGTTTGGAGCGTGAAATCCTTTCGCAGTACAGGATTCATCTTTCTTGCTTCCTGTATTTCGAAGGGCGTCTCTTTGACGCTGCGTTCGCCTAAAAAAAGAACTTCTCGTTCTATTTCAAGCATCGTTCGTTTGTACGAAATTTCAACCTATTCTGTAAACATCTCTGAACCTTTCGATTCAATTCTATTCACATTATTTATATCTATTTGTGTTCGTACTTTTTGTGTGAGGCCTCGATGATTTTCCTCATCATCTTCGTCATCCTCATATTTATCGACTTCATTATCGACTGTAGCCTGCTGTTCTTGTGTCAACGGCACATCATATGCATCTGCTGGGAAATCTTTTAGAAGTCTATCTAATCTTTCGTTCTGAAAGTCATATTCACCTTTGGCAACTTTTAATAGTAATTGTGTTGCTTTCACACGAAAATCTTTTGATAATTCTTCTATGCTTTTCTTATTTCTTAGGATTTCTTCGGCTGATAGTGAAGATTCATCCATTGGAAGAGAAAAAGCGTACTGTGGTAAGGTTTTCGGTATGATATCATGTGAGATATGAGCTGCTACCAGTTCGAAGTTTTTCTTCTTTTTATGGTAGGCTTTTAAAGCTGGTCTACAGAAGGTATTAGCATATATTTTCTGTTGTTCAGTTGCTATGTTTTCAAATGCCTTCAATGCAGTCCATTCATCTTTTTCCAAAGATGCGCGACGTATCCTAATATTGCTCACTTTCATTAATCCTGTTGTGGATTCTTTTATATAATCAAGCATTAGATCATGTACTTTTTTAGGAGCATGAACTATTGCTTGCATATTGTGATTAGAAGAGAGCTTCTCGATGGCTCGAGTTATGATATCATTCGCATCTATGCACGCGGATGTGAATTGTGATATTTTATTTTCACATATTGATAGATTTCTCTTATCGTCTCGAGTATGTGTTTTATCAACAATTTCTTTAGCCCAATGGGCTTTATTCTTTCCTAGTTCATAGAAATGTTGCCAGACCTGGCTTTCATAATGATTGTATATCCATTTGTCGTATGTCGGAAGAGTATCCTTCGCATACTTGTATACTTCATTGAAAGAGTCTTTCAAATCTTTCATTTTTCTGTCATTTAGTTTCACTTTTAGAAATGAAAGAATTTTATATTCTTGTAAATATAATTTCAATTTACGTTTATATTTAGGTGATGGTGATGATCCATCATCGTCATTATGATCTGTGTCTTGTTCAGTAGGAGGAGCGTCATCACTTTCATGTTTATTTTGACGTTGGTGTTCTCTTGAGGTAGTTGGCTCTGGTTTTACTTCGTTTGTCGTGTTCGTTTGTTTAACAACGGCACCATTCCCTTTTCGGATGTTCGAAGTAGGTGTTCTTGTTTTAGATGATTTATTTTTATTCATGGCTCGTGCTTGATTATTATCATGTGTTTCAGCCTCTGAATCATCTGTTTCCATATCATCATCTTTTCTCGACAAAAGAATGAAACGATTATCATTGATTTGATCTATTTTTTCGTTTTGTCTATTAGATATGAAGGTTCGATGCTTCTGACGCCTTTCTCGCCTTCGAATCGTGTTAATATGAGCCTTTTTCGATGTTTTCTTTTGCTTCGATTTTGCATCGAAATTTTGATTATTATTCATCTGGGTGGGCATCGTCTTGGATAGCCTACAATCATCAGCTGAATCTGTTTCTGTTTGATTTAAATTTGCCCATGTTTCAGGCATCAAGTCAACTAGACGTCTTTGCTTAGGTGCATTACGTTGTCGATTATTTTTCAAATTTCCACGTCGTGGACTTATTGATCGATTTCGATTTCGATTATTATATGATGGTTTCCCATTCTTTTTATTATATTTAGACTGATCCTGATTCCAGGATGGAGCATCAACTGGATAGTAGAATGGTGGTGGTGCTAATGGAAAGGGCATTTTCTGCCCATTAACCATACCTCCCGACCAACTCGGACCTAATATAGATGGTGGTTGAAAACCATAACCATATTGATGAGGTTGTTGAATGCCATATGTATAGCCAGTTGGATATTGTTGATCGAAAGATGGGAACATGCTCTCAAAAATATATTATTTAAGATAAAAGGAAGAAACTACTCTGGAGCTAATTTAAAGATCTTTCGACTCTGTATAAAATAGCTAACTAACAAGAAACCAAATACTCAATTAAATGCAAAGAAAAGTAGTTGATTATTTTCTATTCGAAAGAATTAATCGATCTTCTATCTTCTATCAAAAATTAATTTTTTGTTTGAGAGGAAAAAGAGAGAAAAAAAAGAATTGTTTGTTTTTGTACTTTATTATTGACTAGTTTCGGTCAAGTTTCAATTTGACTTCATCAGAATCTGAAAGTAAAAGTGGTTGTGTGAAAAGAAAGTAAATGATGTATTAAACATGTATACATAAGATCGGTTCTCGTAAGAGAAGCTAGATATGTCTATCTTATCCGATGTACCGGGACGATCATATGTGAATTGTTGAATTTCTTCCAGTATTTATAGTACCCGATACTGTTTTCTGTTTGGTGTGTTAAAAGAGATACTAATGGATCAATCAGAAGTCTAGTCTTAGCTGACTAATAGGCGTTGAAGACCGACTAATCAAGGTGTTGAAAATATTCAAAGGTTATCTGGTGAAACTTTGATTTAAAAAAGAATGATCTTAAGAAAAAATACATCAATAAAAGTAGTACCAGATACGAGGTTCGAACTCGTAGTCATCTGTGTAACACACCATTGATCCACTCAATCATCTAGTACGATTATACACTTCTCGAAATTTCACTTGTTATCGAAAGCATCAATCTATATCATATGTGACAGTACTTTTCAAGTTTCTTTTGACAGAATAGGGAAGACATTTGATTAAACAGTTAAGGAATTTCTTAAAAGACCAATCATTTTCATGCGTGTATGCTATAAAAACAGACAGTTTTGCTGTAGTCTGCACAAGATCATCACTCTCCTAAAGACACATCATCTCGAATAGCAGAGAATGGTTTCACGGAATTTGATTTTTGATCGATACCATAGTCGTTGGCATTATTTTTCAATCGTTTTCTTTCTTCTTCTAGATGATACCCATATCCACTGTTCAAAACTCTGCTGTCTCGGGCGATGATGGAATAGCGCGTGATGTTGCTTTTCAAGCACTGATCCCATTCTCCGGAGCTTTCTCTCCTACACAAGTTCGAGGGCAATTGGTTGGTCCAATTCTCAACGGTCCACCAACGTCCATTTGGAGGAGAACCACCATTTCGCATTCGAATGCTGACGGGTCCTTCTGTTTGTATGCTTGTGAGAGAACAGGTCAAGCCATGTGGATACCAAATGGCGATCACTTTGTGGCCGACAGATCACAGAGTGGGCAGTCATCTGGGACTGTCATGGACTATCTGTTCTCTCGCAGTACTCAGGCAGTTGGACCTCGAGGCTATGACTTCTATCATACTGGTCGTACGGTTTCTGGCGAGAATAGGAATATTCACCGACCCAGAAACACTCATGCCAGTATGATAGAGAGATCGGAGAGAACCGGGTCTACTCGACTGATCCGCTTCAGTCCAATGGCTCGTCATGAACCATCTGCGGCTGGAAGGGGGACCAGGAGGACGGCAGCCCGGCGAGAACGCAGAGAAAATGCATACAACTCTGGTGGTACAACAACACCACAACAACCACCAATAACTCGATTAACCATTGCCACTGCCGCTACTACAACCACCGTCGTCAATACCTCTACCAATGAGACAAGTCCACAATTGCAACAATTGAATTTATCAGACGAAGAGGCGACGTGAAGACGCGTGGCCCATTAGGCCCTCGGTTTCATCCCTCTTCAAAACCTCTTGCTCTTGCTCTCGTTCTGTGTTCATTCGACTCTTTTCAGAGTAAGGTTAGAGAGGCCCATATGGCCATCAGCTACCGTTTCGTTTTATCAAACAAGTAACGCGGCCTAGTAGCCGCTAAACCCTCTACTGAAAAGATAGTATTAGAGTGCTACTATTCATCCAAAGAGAGAAAAAAGTTATTTCAGTTGAACGATCTGATCATTTGATAATTTGTCAGAATGTTTTACCTAGACCAATTTCGCTTCCTGAAATCTTCTGAAATTATAACGCCTAGTCGTTTGCCGGCCTCTCTCCGGTCAACCACTCACTGCTAGCCGTTGGTACCTAATAATTGTTTAATGATATTTTCATATTAAAAAGTACCTCGTTCTTGTTGAGTCCGTCTCTAGCAAAGTTGCCGAAATTCTTCACAACTTCGTGACCTACAGTATATCTTTTATTATCATTTTTAGTTGAATGAGTTGGTGATCTACATAGTTTTTTCTCGCAGCTCGAAAAGATATCATATATATATATACCTTAGAAAAATTATAGACGCTTTGCGACAGTCTTATAAATCTCACTATTCAACTCATTTTCAAAAGAAACAACTAGTCGGTCGGCCACTCACGGCTAGCTGTTCCCATGCGTACTCATTTTACTATCTTAACTTCATTCGGACGAAGACGCGTTCCGAAAATGAGCACATTTCGAAAAATCATTTCATAATCCAAAACTTAGAAGCTTTACATAGCTATATGATTCTCTGGAAAAGGTTTCAATCTTCTCTCCACCAAGAGGAACCTTAAATAGCTGCCACCTATGTTCGTGCAGAGCAACGATTAATTTCTGACCAAGAAATCTTAAAGGTCTATAAAAATCACAAAGTTTGTTCTTAAAAATATTATTCTGCAAATCGACGACTAGTCGCTCGTCGGCCTCCCTACGGTCGGCCACTCGCGGCTAACCGTTACATGTACATTTTCACTCTTCCATTTAGTCTAGAGTAACTTTTGAAACTAATTCATTCATTCTCCTCCATTCCTTCTTTAAAAGTCACCCTCTGTGTGCTACTGTGACTGTCGAAGACAACACCTGAAAAGCGAAACATTATTTTGAATGACTGGTATCAGATGATATTCGTATAGTATAGCTGTTTATAAAAGTGTGTGATCTCATTAATATGCTGATGACTATGGAGCTCCAGCGATCGGACCTCAGTCAGCTGTTACATTTTGTTCTACATATTACCACTTACAACATTATCGTCTAAAAATTGATCCTTTGTCGCAAAAAACAGGTCAGAAAGTGTTCATGAAAAAAATAACACTGGATTCGAGATCCTCGACCTCGATTACCCTTCGGTCAACCCTTAGTAGTATGAGCTAGTATTAGGTAATATTGGAAGAAAAATGAACGGACGAACGAACGAACAAACATCAACTCGTTTTTTCGGTGATATCAGCTCGACGCACTACCCTCCTTTCAGTAGAGGGAATAAATTCCTCCACTAAGGGAACAGATCCGGCGATCATCGATTCCAATCACCCTCACCCACACCCACACCCACCCTCACACACCCTCACCCTCATCCTCACCCCACACTCCTCAGGACATGACTGTTGTTTACATGCTTATCACCATATTAAAGTGCGACGTCTCTAGTAGCATTTTAGGACGGCATTCTAATTATTCGATTCATAGGACACGCGATTTGTTCTTTGTATCACAACGATTAAGAGTGG